ACCAAAGATTATGACAGCCACCAAATAATAAATAAGACAATAAAACAACAATAAAGGAAACACTAGAATTTATGAGGTTCAGCTAATTTTGCCTACTCCTCGGACACAACCAATATTTTATTCCACTCCAAAAATACAAGTGAAATAATACTAAAGAGAGAAGATACAAATGCCTTAAACAGATGAGAAGGCAAATGAGAGGTGTGTCTAAATCCTAAACATTAGGCCTTCTTTTATAGGGGAAAAATCCCCTCCAAACTTAACTCCCAACCAATGTGGGACTTCGGCATTTTGCCAAACTTCAACAGTTTCATCATCCATTTCTTCCTTATCTTCTTCTTCTGACTCCTCTTTGCTCTTGTCTTTCTTTTCTTTATCCTTTGTTTCTTATCCTTCTTATGTTTCTTTTTTTTATCCTTCTGTTCCCCTTCTTCGTCATCTTTCTCTTCCTCTTCATCTGACACCTCTTTGCTCTTGCCTTTCTTTTCTTTATCCTTTTTCTCTTTCTTATTCTTCTTGCATTTCTTCTCTTTATCCTTCTTCTCTCCTTTTTCATCATCCTTCTCTTCCTCTGTTTCTTCCTCCACCTCCTCTTTGCTCTTATCTTTCTTTTCGCTACCCTTTTTCTCTTTCTTTTCCTTCTTTTTCTTCTCCTTATCCTTCTTCACCCCGTTTTCATCATTCTCCTCTTCCTCTGTCTATCTCTCGTCTTCTTCATCCGATTCCTTGTTTTTCTTGCCTTTGTTCTCTTGATCTTTTTTCTTATTCTTATTCTTCTTAAATTTCTTCTCTATATCCCTGTTCCTCCCTTTTTCATCATCCTTCTCTTCCTCGGTTTCTTCTTCTGATTCCCCTTTGCTCTTGCCTTTCTTTTCCTTGTTCTTTTTCTCTTTCTTTTCCTTCCTGTCTTTCTTCTCTTTATCCTTCTTCTCCCCTTTATCATCATCCTTTTCTTCCTCCGACTCATCTATGATCTTGTCTTTCTTCTCTTTATCCTTCTTCTCCCCTTTATCATCATCCTTTTCTTCCTCCGACTCATCTATGATCTTGTCTTTCTTCTCTTTTTCCTTTCTGTCTTTCTTTCCCTTTTAAGTTTCTTCTCTTTATCTTTCTTCTCCCCTTCTCCGTCATCCTTCTCTTCCTCTGTTTCTTTGCCGTCTTCTTCTTCTGACTCATGTTTGCTCGGCTTTCATCTCTTTATCTTTTTCCTCATTCTTATCCTTCTTGAATTTCTTCTTTATATCCTTGTTCTTCCCTTTTTTATCATCCTTCTCTTCCTCGGTTTCTTCCTCCGACTCCTCCTCTTTACTCTTCTCTTTCTTTTCTTTATCATTTTTCTCTTTCTTTTCCTTCTTGTATTTCTTTTCTTTTACATTTTTTGTCTCACCATCTTTCTCATCCTCTGTGTCCTCTGACTCCTCTTCGCTCCCCGTATTTTGTACTTTATCCTTTTTCTCTTTCTTTTTATTCTTGTATTTCTTTTCTTTTACATTTTTTGTTTCACCATCTTTCTCATCCTCTGTTTCCTCCGACTCCTCTTTGCTCCCCCTATTTTTTACTTTATCCTTTTTCTCTTTTTCTTTCTCTTTCTCCTTCAATTCTTTTTCATGCTTTTCTTCCATGTCTATCTTCTTTTCCTTTTCCATCTTTACTTCTCCCATGGCACAACAATTGTCTGCACGTCAATGTGCCTTTAATTTCTCCAAGGTATCTAAGAAGGAGATGAAATAATTAAGAAAACAATAAGTCTATAATTTTCATGTTTAATGAAAGCATTAGGTAGAAAGGAAAAATAACAACAATGGCAAAAAGACTGAACAAGGATAACTAAATGACTACGTATTTGGTCGACTGGCACTAGGCAGTTTTTTCTTTCTTTTTTAGACATCTGGTACCGAAACCACGCCCAACTAATCCGAATTAACGTCGGATAGGTACCAGGCAAATAGAACCTAATGAACCACAAAGTTGTCTCTCACAAGGATGTTCAGCAGATTCATTGGCAGTATTGTTCTGGTATTCCATATGAATCACATGGTAAGCAACTTAGTCGTTAGCAGTTGTAACACGATAAAGAAAAAAAGACAAATATCAAAGGGAAGTCGACCATATGAAAATACAGTAAAGATGCAGTAAGGATTAACTAGCTGGAGCTTATACATGAGTAAACATGATTCCAAAAATATAATTCAATGAAACATTAATTTCTTTATATCCTTTTCCCGCACCTCTATACCCCATGCCGCATTATTGTTTCAGATTCTAAATGATTTTCAGCATTTCTTTTTCTTGGTAAGCCACACTCTACTGTAGTTTTTCTTTCTTTTTCATTCACTCTATCATACTAGAAATTATCAGTAAACTTTTGTTACATGTAAAGAAACTATGATTTGATTCACTACATAATATATATTTTCACCAATCTCCTAATTCAGATGCAGAAAACCCATATTTATTCCGTGTCATTCCGTCTAAATTAGGGGTATATTTATTTCATAGTATAACGATAAGGTCTTAATTGAACGGATAGTAAAACGAATGATATATTTAAACTATTTTTAATAGGACAAGAATATATTTGACCATTTTCCGTTTATATTGCATACAAAAACTTATTGGACGATCACAATCAATCAAAATGGTAAGTTTTGCATAGAAAGAGGAAAGTGACACTGACATAACAATATAAACAATACAGAGATAAACGATTTGTGCTTTACTCGCAAAACGGGAGTTCTGGAGGGTTCTAGTAAAAAAACATTAACCCCAAATTAACATCACATAAACTATAAAATGAAACCTCAAAATTGATTGATAAAGCAGCCCCCATATATATATATTTGCATATAGCGATCTCAATACCACATAACTAATCAACATTAAACGAGTTTGCAGAATGAGAAGAATAAGCAAGAAAACCAATAAAAAGGATAGAAATACAGCAAAAAAGATATACTACTATATTAGCAACATCAAGGTAAGATATTTAAAGGAAATAACAAATAAGCAAGGAAATATAAAACTTACCATTTTCAGTAAGAAACAGAAACTCCAAGAAACTCTGTGCTCTCTATATAAAGTATATGAAAAAGAATAGATATGTTGTGGATATTAGAACAAATCCAGAAGTTGGGAATTTATAGAAAGGGTTAAATATAAAGGACAGAATATATATATATATATACAACCGCGTGGCGAACGCAACATGGAGAATTGAATATGGACTTCAAATGTCGGTAAGATAGGAGAGATGAATTAATTGGTTCTTAAGTTGCTTTTCGGGAAAGGAAAGAAGATGAGAGGAAGAAATTGACAGAAGTGCGATGAATGTTTGGTCGGTAAAGTGGAGTTGGACGCGTGGCACCCGTGTATTGATTTGAGTTAGAGGGGATTGCGAGCTACCACGAACTAGAGCTCCTTTCATTTTGCACAACTTTTTTCTTTATCCATTTGGTATAAGTAGGCGTTTGGACATAAGAATTGTAAAATTTCAAAAAATTGTGATAATTTTTTCCAAGTCAAAATGGTATTTGAAAAATAGTTTTTGTAATTTTGAAATTTTTTGAAAATTTTCAAAATGCATATTCAAGTAAAAATTAAAAATTTTATGAACAAACGCTGATTTCGGAAAAAGGTGAAATTCTTTTGGAAAAATCTTCCATCAAATTTTATGTCCAGACGGGCACTAAAATTTTAGTAAATCGCCTAATTTTAATTTGTGTAAAGCGAAAAAAATACTTTATCTTAAAAGATGGAAAATTGTCCCTCTCGTCAAGGTAAAGTTACTAATAAATATAGTATGTAAACATCATATGAGTAAACTTTTACCATCCTGTCACTCTCCTTATTGGTCATATCATTTTTTTTTTTTTTACAAAATCATAAACAACTCATAAAAAAGAAACAAACTTATATTACTTCCTCTCTTTTTCAAAATAAATGTTCTACTAGAAGCTAGAATTATAACATTTGAATTATTAAGTTATTATTGAAAATACTTTCATGAGATATTCGTCTAAGTAATGTGAAATCTTACTCTTGCAAATTTCGAAAGGAAATAATCATTCATTTGGCTGGACTAAAAGTATCATGATGGTATAACTTTTAGTCTACAAAAAGGGAGGTTACTGTATGGGTCAAAATTAGGTCTAGCTTAATGAATGCAGACGGACGAGCTGAGGCCGAGGTCGAAACCAAGTACGGTCCAGTGGCGAGGAATCGCTCAGAGAGAGAGATCAGTGCCGAGGTCGAGTAAAGAATAAACAGCTGCAACTGTTAGAATATTCCTAGGATTATGAATAGGAATATTCCATTAAATATTCTCCCAAATTGTACTTTTTTAGGGTTTTCTAGAAATATCTTTTATAAATAGGAAGAGAGAGGAAACAAGAGGGGGATGGAAACTTTTAAGAAGAACATCTTGTAAAGGGTTGACTATCAAGAATATACAAAAAACTTGTCTTGCTTCCTCTGTTGGATTCCATTACAAAATATTTCCCTTTTATTCATAAGATCCAAGAACACTTTATTCATTTCCATAGTCTGTTGTCACACGCTATAGTCAAAAGAAAGAATCATCCATCTCATTCAACGTTTGGGTGACAAATTCCTTCTTATTACATTTAATGTCATTTGTCACATTTATTGCATGTTTTCATTCTCACATTTATTGATAGTCATCGAGCACTAACTTGACATTCGTTGACTTGACACGGTCCCGTACCACCAAAGTTGCTAAACTTCGGATCTGGGATTTATTACTTTTAACTTGGATTCACCCTTTATCTATTTATTAAATTGGTTTAACAAAACGGACTTAAAACTTTTTGGTCAAATAATTTGGCGTCGTCTATGGGGAGTTCCTAGTTAAAAAGCTTAGTTTCTTCTAGATCTAAAAAAATATTAAAAGCTTCGCAAGAGAAGGAGAGGAAAGACTGTAAGCAGTGATGGGCGTCACTACTAACCTCTTAGGCACCATCAACGAGGTGGATAGGGAAGATGAGGAGAATGTGACGCCGAGCGACTCACCCAGGCAAAGTGACTCACCTCCTCCTCATAGAAGTGTAACCGCTTCATATGAGAAGGGAGCCTCTACGTCCACGACGGAGGAAGAGTCACCCGTAGTGAAAAAGTTATTGGAGGCCCGAAGAGCACCCTAAACAACATACTCGACAAATTCGCTCAAGGGGCAAGTAGAAACACCGCACGAGTTGACACCCCCAACAACCATCAACGAGCAGCACACTCCTCCCCCGACAGGTAACACTCATACCGTTGTTGATGTAGGTAACGACACCCTCATAACTATTCTGAGGAAAAAGGAAAAAATGGAGAATAAGAATAAAGCACTCCGCGACCAAATGAGGGAGCACCAAGAAACAGTTGATAAGATACCAGGTGCCCCAAAACTTTTGCCAAAGAAGGACGTCGGCCGGTTCGTGGAACAACCATACAGCGAGGAGGCAGCCCCACATGCCATACCCAAAACCTTCAAAATGCCGACATATTTGAAAATATACGACGGCACAACGGACCCCGAAGACCATATCATTCATTACGTCATGGCGGTAGAAGGCAACGACCTCTCGAAAGAGCAGGTACTGTCAGTGCTGCTGAAGATGTTCGGCGAAACCCTAACAGGGGGAGCCTTAACATGGTACTCACAATTACCGGCACATTCCATAATGACATTTGAGGAAATGGCCGACAAGTTCGTCACCGCCCATGTCGAGGCCAAAAAAGCAGAAGCCAGGGTGAATGACATATTCGCCATCAAACAGTCTCCTGGCGAAGGACTCAGGTACCGCCCGGTTCAACAGAGTAAGAATGAGCCTGCCAAACGTGTTAGAGGGGATGGCGATAGCGGCCTTTCAAAATGGGCTAAACTGGAATGAGTCAAGGGCGACCAGAAAATTATTAAGCAGACTCATGAAATACCCTCCCACCACCTGGGAAGAAATTCACAATGCTTACTGTGCAGAGGTGAGAGCAGACGAAGACGACCTCAATGGTCCAACCCAACAGTTAACGATAGTCCAAATGGAATCAAGGAAAGATCGACGGAATGATAGCCGAAGAGATCATGAAGATCCACGCCTCAATCGGGAAAGGCACCAACCATACATTAGAACGGCCACCCCACTAACTTCCCGCCAAGCCGAAGGGACGTCTAGACCACAGACGGGGACTCACCAAAATGAAAGAGGTATGCCCCCACTTTTATCTGCTCACAATTGTTGTGTTTCTCCTTTAGAAATAGTTTACCCCCTAGAGAAGCTCGGTCCCAAGGTGAAATGGCCACAAAATATGAAGTCGGACACAAATTACAGAAAGTCAAATGCCCTCTGCGAGTTCCATCAGGAACAGGGCCACAAGATCGAGGATTGCATAGCCCTACGACAAGAAGTAGTGAACATGCTCTAACAAGGACATTTAAAGGAGTTGATGAGCGACCGAGGGAGAGCCAATTTCGCTTGTGGACGAGAACAACATCAAGGCCCCCCAAAGCCAACCTCCCCCGCCCGCATCATCCAAATGATCATTGGTGGATGCGACGAAGCAACAATCAGCCATGTGAAATTCACCACCACGCACAAATTGAAGCGGTCGATCACCCATGAACGGTATGATGACTTTGAAGACAATATCATCTTTGATAAGTCAGATACCCACGGTTTGACATTTCCCCATTTCGACGCTCTTGTCATTACTTTACGAATTTCAGATACCGATGTAAAAAGATCATGGTAGACGACGGGAGCGGTGCGTGTATTATCCACCCCCAGAGTTCTCACACAAATAAGACTCGACGATAAGATAATACCACGCTGCATAACACTAACAGGTTTTAACAATGCAGTTGAACGAACCTCTGGAGAGATAACATTTCCCATTCTGGCCGGGGGTGTTACCTTGGAAACAACATTCCATGTCATGAACCAAGACACAACCTATAACGTCATTATAGGGCGACTGTGGATACACGCCATGAGGACCATCCGTCCAGTTTATATCAAGTTATCAAGTTCCCTACCCCATGGGGAATATTCAGCATCGGTGAACGTTGCACAACTCAAGAATGTTACCACATCACCCAAGACTGCACATACACTCAAGAATTAAGAGGGGAAGACTCAGGAGCATAGCAATTACCAAAGTCGAGGCTCGAATCCGACGAACAAATAGATGTCGTCAAAGACCCCGACGTCGTGGAAACCATAGGGCCAACAGTGGAAGACCTCAATCCCGTCTAGCTAGACAACAACAACCGCAACAAAAAAAGCCTATATCAGCCACAAACTCACAAAACCAGGTCAATTCCATAAATCTTTAACTAACAACGCTGATTGGTTTGCTTTCTCCCATGCAGACACGCCAGGTATCCCGAAAGACATTGCAACACACAAGCTGAATGTCGATCCACTCTACCCGCTAGTACGACAAATCAGAAGAAAGTTCAACGCTTCAATCAACGAGGCCGTCTGCAAAGAGGTAGAAAAGTTGCTCGTCAACGGTTCCATTCAAGAGTCAAAGTACCCCTAATGGGTCGCCAACATGGTCATGGTGAAAAAGAAAAATGGGAAATGGCGCATGTGTGTAGACTTCACGGACCTATATAAAGCTTGCCCGAAAGACTCTTTCCCATTACCTCACATCGATCAACTCATCGACGCTACAGCTGGGCACGAGTTATTAAGCTTCTTGGACGCCTACTCAGGCTAACCCCAAATCCTCATAGAGGAGGAGGACCAGGAAAAGACCACATTCATCACCCACCAAGGGACGTACTACTACAGAGTCATGCCGTTTGGGTTCAAAAATATAGGGGAGACCTATCAGAGGCTGGTCACCAAGATGTTCAAAGAGCAATTCGACAAAACGATGGGAGTCTATGTAGACGACATGTTGGTCAAATCAAAAAGAAAATAGGACCACATCGGCCACATAGGGAAGCCTTCGACATACTTAGGCGATACGACATGAAGCTGAACCCCGAAAAGTGCACTTTCGGCGTGACCTCAGGAAAGTTCCTTGGCTTTTTGGTGTTGTAGAGAGGCATTGAGGTCAATCCCGGTCAAATCAAGGCTATAGAGGGAATACCTAAACTTTTGACCAGCAAGAAACATGTGCAAAAGTTGACCGGCCATATAGCCGCCCTGTCAAGGTTCATCTCACAATCCTCTGACAGATGCCACAAATTCTTCAACGTACTCAAAAAGGACAACGGACTCCAGTGGAATTTCGAATGCATCAATGCCCTAAGAGAATTAAAGTCATACTTATCCTCGCCCCCGTTAATCGCCAAGGCAGAACCTGGCAAACGCCTCTTAATCGACCTGGCCGTATCCGATGTCACAGTAATCGCAGTCTTGGTCCATGAAAACAAAGGTATGCAATCTCCAATCTATTACATTAGCAAAATCCTGGTCGATGCCGAAACGAGGTATCCTCACCTCGAAAAACTGGCTCCTGCATTAGTCGTAGCTTCGCAAAAGCTTAGATCCTATTTTCAATGCCACACCATCTCGGTGGTCACGACCTTCCCCCTAAGAAGCATCCTACATAAACCCAAGCTGTCGGATAGACTGGCTAAGTGGGCCATCGAATTAAGCGAGCACGATATAACATATCATCCGCGAACAACGATAAAATCACAAGTACTCGCCGACTTTGTCATCGACTTCAGCGCCAAAATAATGCCTAAGGCCGAGCAGGAAGCCTCTCGTACCTCTCCCAAGTTATCTGAGCTATGGGTCTTGTACACCGATGGTGCCTCCAACGTGTTAGGATCTGGACTGGGACTCATGCTCGAGGTCCTAACAAGCGAAGTCATCCGCCAGTCCATACGGTGTCCCGACATAACTAACAATGAGGCCGAGTATGAGGCCGTAATTGTAGGACTGAAACTAGCTCTCAAGTATGGAGCACGGCGAGTCATCCTCCGATGTGACTCACAACTCATCATCAACTAAGTCACAGGGACTTTCCAAATCAAGGAATAAAGGCTACAAAAATATAAGGCAGAAATTCATAAGCTATTGTCCAAGTTCGACAAGTGCCAACTCGACCTGATACCTCGAGCAAAAAAAATTGAAGTATACGGCCTTGCTAAATTAGCGGCGGCCACCAAGAACATAAGCGGAAAGGAAAACGTGATCACCCTCCTTCGTTCATCAATAGACCAAATTGAGGTACGCACTATAAACTTGCTTAGGACTGCTGCAACCGTATTATGTCATATTTGTAGGACGGAGTGCTCCTACCCAATAAAAAAAAGCCAAGAAGCTTCGAATGCAGGCGGCCAGATACAACATCATCAACCATGACTTGTATAAAAGAACATTTGGCGGTCCTTTGGAAAAATGCCTAGGACCAAATCAAACTAGGCGCTTCCTCGAAAAATTACATGAAGACCACTGTGGAGCCCATACCGGTAATTGAGCCCTCGTTAGATGCCTCATACGGGCAGGCTATTATTGGCCCACCATGAAAAGGGAAGTCGCCGACTTCGTTATAAAGTGCGAACAATGCCAAAAATATGCTCCAATGATCCACCAGGTGGGCGATCACCTCCACTCAGTCACATCTCCTTGGCCATTCATCAAATGGGGATGGACATCGTTGGACCCCTTCCAACAGGACGAGGTAATATACGATTTCTTTTGGTTTTAACTGACTATTTTTTCAAGTGGGTAGAAGCAGGTACATTCGCTCAAATACGCGAACAAGAAGTTATCACGTTCATATGGAGGAACATCATATGCCGCTTCGGCATCCCCAAAGAAATCAGTTATGATAATGGACCCCAATTCACCAGAAGAAAGACAGCTGAATTCTTCAAAAAATGGCACATCAAGTGAATACTCTCCACGCCTTATCATTCCGCAGGCAACGGTCAGGCTGAGTCCTCCAGCAAAACAATATTGAACATCATGAAGAAAAAGCTTGAGGACGCCAAGGTACTGTAGCCGGAACTGCTATCGGAAGTGCTATGGGCATACCGCACCACACCAAAAACAAGCACATGAGAGACGTCATATTCACTAGTCTATGGGACCGGCGCAGTGATACCAGTCGAAGTCGGGGAAGCGATTTTGAGGTACTCCAATGAGAGCGGACCAAGTAACGATAAAAGCAGAAAGCAAGACCTCGACGAAACAGATGAGCTAAGAGACATGGACTACGTAAGAATGATAACTCAAAAACAACAACCAAAACGGTACTACAACAAAAAAGCCCAAGTCAGACCACTCAAGGTAGGGGACTATGTATTCAAAGCCAAAATACTAGCGAGTAAAGACCCACGGGAAGGCAAACTTGGAACCAATTGGGACGGTCCATATAAAATCACGGCAACAGCAAACAAAGGGTTATTCCAACTAGAAACAATCACTACAAGAAAAAGCCTTATTAGGGACCAGCATTTAGCGACAAGTTTTAATTATGGTCCCTAAAAGTATACTTATAGGGATGAGAATTTCTTTTAGTCTTTAATATGCAATTTTATCTCTTAAATACACTACCAGACGTGTTCTGGTCTACACAAAAATTAATATCTGATCTCTAATATTGGATTTTAGCGGGATAGGGGCGGGAACTAATGAAAACTAAAAGTAAAAAAAGAAAAGAAAAGGAAAGTAAGCTCCAAAATTTCACGGTATCCCTCCAAATTGTCTTTCACCCTAAAATCTCTCAAACTTTCAGCCTAAAATCCCTAACAGACTGCCGATCGAACTCCTTCAAAATTCAGAATCTCAGCCACTAAACTCCTTCAAAATTCAAAAGGTCAAAAACTCTAAGAAAGGTCACAAAGAGCGAGCGAGGCGGCTGCTAAACTTCGGCATCCAGAACTCTGTTCAATTTCTTCTTTGGAGGCCGCTAATCCTCCAAAGTACTTTACATAAATTATACTATTGGATTATCCGCTAAACAAGAGTAAGTTCAATTTCTTTCTCTTTGATATGTTCTGTTTTTTTCTTCTTCTTCGTGTCCTTTTTTCCCTTTGAATCAAAAATCGCAAAAGGGGTTCTTCAATTTTTTGTTTCTTTATTTGTTTTCTGCAACTTAGAACTCTATATATGGAGAGTCAAAATCTGGATTCTTCAATTTCTTCAATTTGAATCAGAAATCGCAAAAGGGTTCTTCAATTTCTTTCTCTTTTATTTTTTGTTTCTATATGTAGAAATCTCTCTTACTAATTGACCTTTTAGGTTTTCCTGTTTATACAGTTTTGTTTATTGAAAATGTAGAATGAAGCTAAGTTAAAAGTAGTTGCTTTTATAATGATTATAAAATAAATATTTACAGTACAAAAAGCATAATTCTCATTAAGAAATCATATCTGCAAAGTCACGTAGTTCCTGTAACAGCAAGATACTCTATAAAACTTGAAGTTGAGATTTTTGATAAGATTACATTTTGTACTTTTGGTGTTTAGTAAAACTCTGACCTAACACTGTTGTGGAGAAATATTTTAGTACCATTTTGCAGCTTATTGATTGTTTTGAATAGTGATCTTTCTTGTGTGAGTGATAAAAGTGAGATTATTGGGTTTAAAATTGGGTGATCTTTATTGTGTGAGGAGAAATTTGTACAAAAGAGGGGCTGTTTGGTTTCTCGTAAAATCATCGGACATTGGAGAATGTCAAGCAACCCAGAACTAAAATTTCACCAAAAATGGGTATTGGTTGCTCGTATTAGGACTGCAAGAGAATATAGGCTGAGCCTCGTAATATTCTGATAAGGTCAATATTTTGAGCGTTAAATTTATCATGTTCACAAGACACTACTGTCAGTTGTCAACTGTTTTCCTACATTTTCCAGAACATATGTTGTGCTGTAAAAAGCAAACACATTATCCTGAACAACAGAAAATTTGAAATACATCCAAGTACCATTTTTCCTTCTATCCTTCTCCTAGTTCTGCCTTATTTTGCCACCCACAAGTGAACCAAGATGGCACTAACATATTAATGAACAAATATATCAACTATTATAATATAGGCTCTATTTTGATTCTAGCTATAATGTGNATATATATATATATAACTAGTTCTTGATTAAAAAAATGACAAATATAGCTAGTGTCTCATTAGATAACAATCATTACAATTTTTTAATAGTAGAATGACAGTTATTGTATCATTCTTTTATTTAAGGAAGATAAGATAAAAAATTAGTGATTTAATTTTAGAGTGTCTTATGTGTTTTAATTTCTCATTTTGTTGAGCAATTGTGAGTTATATGTTATGAATATCAACTTGTTATTTATTTCATTCTTATAAAATCGTAGGAAGTTTAGTCATAAAGATGAGTCTGGCAAGTGTAATAACAAGTAATGTGCATCGTAGTACTTTCTTTTATAAGTAATGTGCATCTAAATGTTTTGTGATCTTAATTTTTTAAATATTATTTCTATTTGCTATCCAAGGTTATGGCACCAAGTAAGCGATAGATGCAACTTATTGATAACCCACTTGACGAATCCTACTTAATTGGGGTACAAACTTTTTTGGATTATGCCTTTAGAAGAACAGGAGAATTGTATGAAATACGATGTCCGTGTGTCAAATGTTGTAACACAACATTAGGAACACGTGAGACAGTCGAGATACATTTGAAAGTATATGGAATAATTCAAAATTATACTTTTTGGTATCATCATGGAGAAGTTCAGGGTGAGCCATAGTCGGAATGCGAAGTTGAAGATGATAATGAAGTAGATGATTATGAGGATGAGGATGAAATACATGAAATGCTGAGGGATTTGTATCCTAATCATGATGGAGGCACTGCTGATGTTGGTTACAATGATTTACTTGAAGAAGAACCAAATGTTGAAGCCAAAAAGTTTTACAGCCTATTGAAAGATTTCGAGAAGCCACTATACTAAAATTCAAAAATTTCAAAGCTTTCCACTTTGATTAAACTGCTTCACATAAAAAGTATGGGTCGTTGGAGCAACGAGTCATTTACAATGTTATTAAAAATGTTGAAGGATGAGATGTTGCCTGATGGAGCGAATTTGCCGAATTCATATTATGAAGCAAAGAAGGTGATTCGGGACCTTGGGCTTTCCTACCAAAAAAATTGATGCTTGTATAAATGACATGCTATATTGGAAGGAAGATAATTTACTTGATTCCTGTAAAGTATGTGGTGCATCCAGATAGAAAATAGATAAACATAGCGGGGAAGCAAAAAATAACAAGAATGGTAAAATAATAGCATCAAAGATTTTACGTTATTTTCCATTGAAGCCTAGGCTTCAAAGGTTGTATATGTAGGCAAAGACATCTTCCCTAATAACATGGCATCATGATAAAAGGGTTGATGATGGAACAATGAGGCATCCAGCTGATTCAATAGCATGGAAATCATTTGATGAACTTCATCCCTCATTTGCGGCTGAGCCTCGTAATATTCGACTTGGACTTGCTAGTGATGGATTTCAGCCATTTTGAAATTCAAAAACCTCATATTGTATTTGGCATGTGGTACTTAATCCTTATAATTTACCACCTTGGTTGTGTAAGAAACAGAAAATTTTTATTATGTACATGCTTATACCTGGTCCAGATAGTCGAGGAGATGCAATTGACATATATCTTCAACCCTTGATAGAAGAGTTGAATGAGTTATGGGAAATTGGTGTTGAGACCTTTGATGCATCAACCAGACAGAATTTTAAGTTACATGCTTCTTTGTTATGGACTATCAATGACTTTCCAACATATGCAAATTTATCTGGATGGAGTACAAAAGGTAAATTGGCATGCCCATGTTGCAATAAAGACACTTCCTCAATCAAATTGAAGAATAGTAAGAAATAATGTTTTATGGGTCATCGACATTACCTTTCTCTTAATCACAAATGGAGGAATGATAAGGAGTCATTTGATGGCACAAAAGAGAAAAGGCTCCCACCAAAAATACGTTCTGGTATTGAGATACTTAATCAAGTTCAAGATCTTAAAGGGTTACAATTAACAAAGGATCCAAAGAAAAGGACCAAGATATCACATGATGTTCAAAAAGATAACTGGAATAAGAGGAATCTTTTTGAACTTCCATATTGGAAATCACTCTTGTTGCGACATAATTTGGATGTTATGCATATTGAAAAAAATATATGTGATAATATTTTGGGGACGATCATGAATGTCAAAGGAAATACCAAGGACACCATTAAAACTCGACTCGATTTGTAAGAAATGAACATTAGGCCGGAATTGCACCCAATCAGAAAAGGAGAAAAATATGAAGTTCCAACTGCATGTTATACATTAGCTCCCTAAGAAAAGCACAACATATGCCTTTTCTTAAAGAATTTAAAGGTACCAGATGGATTTTCATCTAATATTTCTCAAAATGTTAACTTGAAAGAGCACAAAATTTCTGGATTAAAGAGTCATGATTGCCATGTTCTTCTACAACATTTACTCCATCTTACTCTACGTGGCATGCTATCCAAAACAGTGTGTGAACCCCTTATCGAGTTGTCTTTATTTTTTAATGTTCTTGGAGCAAAGGCATTACGGACTAGTGACTTGGATAAGATTGAAGCTCAAATTCCTATAACACTTTGTAAGTTAGAAAAGGTATTCCCTCCCTCATTTTTTGATGTCATGGTGCACTTGCCTATTCACTTAGCTAATGAAGCTAAGCTTGCTGGACCGGTTCAGTATTGGTGGATGTATCCTATAGAACGATGGTTATATTTTTTGAAATCTCTCATTGGTAATAGGGCTTGTCTAGAAGGTTCAATTGCAGAGGGTTACCTTGCAAATGAATGTATGACCTTATGTTCTAGGTATCTGCATAGAATCGACACAAAGTTTAATCGACCAGAATGAAATGACGATGGTGGTTTAAAAAATTTTGATGGAAGTTTATCTCTATTTTGTAAATCTGGAAAAACTTTAGGAGATCCAAAATATCATGATCTTGAAGCGGATGAATTGGAGCAAGCACATATATACAGACTGAAGAATTGTGATGAAGTTCTACCATTTCTAGAGTATGATATTTTGTCCTTCATATCGTATTTTGTTTTCGTTGCTTCCTTTAGGATTGTTTATCCTTTATGTATGACATTTGTGGTTCAACTAAAATTTGTAGAGAGCTTGCACGAACTCATGTGGATTCTACTCAACACTTGTCTGATACAGAATGGAACAGACAATTTATTGAATGGTTTAAAGATAGGGCGAGTAATATATACATATTAAATTTAAAAATCCAATATTATATTTTCCCCATTCTAAAGTAATCAACTTTATCTTGTCAATAGGTTGCACAATTGTATAAAGAAGATGATAGTCAGATCATGGAAGATTTCCTTGCACTTTCACGCGGTCCGATCCAATATGTGTTACATTATAGTGGTTATGTTGTTAATGGATATAGATTTCATGTGGAAGATTATGATAAACATTTAAGGACTCAAAATTGTGGTGTGGCTGTTGTCGGTGAGACTGATCAACATAGTGAGAATATTGATTACTATGGAGTTTTAATTGACGCTCTTGAATTGCAATTCACCGGAAGAAGAGTAATTTTGTTTCGATGTAATTGGTTTGATGCATATGATAAAAAGAAATGAACTAAAACAGATGAATATGGTATTGTAAATGTTAATTGGGGGCGATTTTTGAAAATAAATGAGCCTTTTGTATTAACGGACCAAGCATCTCAAGTATTTTATGCTAATGATAATTCCAACAAAGGCTGGTGTGTAGCAAGAAAGACACAATCTCGTGATTCCTATGAGATTTTGCAACAAATGGATGGTGATGTTGTAGATTTAGAAAATCCTATACAAAATAAACGGAAAAGAACCGACTGAGGTGAAGTATCTCTTTATGCCATTAGCATATTCATATTGTTATGCATTATGATTATATGTTTTTTTGTTGGTACATTGCATTTATAATGTCTTATTTCTTTTTGTAGGTTTGATATGAGACCATCAAAGAATGAAAATGAGGTAGCATCTATTGGGAAAGCTACTACCAAATATGTGTTTGTTGCACCGGGTGTTATAGGGAAGGGACGAGGGAGAGGGCTTAAATCTCTAAGCTCTTTAGGGGTATCTAGAATAGATATTCCATTTTTTCCATCTACTGATCAAGCTATGAAGTACAACCAAATTGTTGAAACGGGTATGGTTTTTCAAATATATTGTATTATCAATTTGTACAGTTAAATTTTATTGCTATTTTTTTAGTAATGTGATTTCCTTATACTAGGTGCTGTAACGAAGGGACGAGGGCGAGGGCTTCGATTTATGTGCTCTTTGGGGGTGTCTGAAATGGGACCAACGAATAAAAAACCATTGGTTTTTGAGAAAGGGCATATGCAAACTAATATTCCATCTTTTTCATCTACTGATAACATTATGCACTACATCCAAAAAAATTCAGCAAGTACGGTTTCTAAAATCTACTCTCTTTTAAAATCAATTTTGTAATTATTTAGATTTGATTTCCTGTACTCATGTAATTTCTTGCACCAGGTGCTCTAGGAAAGGGACGAAAGCAAGAGCTTAGATCTATGTGTTCCCTTGAAGAATCTGAAAATGAAGAGCGATCTTTCCATCAAAATACTCATTATAATTGTCAAAGCATGTCAAGACCTTCTAAGAGTACCTTATCTGCCGCTCAAGAATTGCGAACAGTGAATAAAAACCCTTTGGTTCATGACAAGGAGAATATGCAGACTGATATTTCATTTTCTCCTTCTGTTGATCAAGTTATGCAGTCCCCCCAAAAAGCTGAAGCAAGTATGGTTTCTCAAATCTATTCTTTTTTTAGAAATGAATTTAATTTAATGCCAAATTTTTAGTAATATGATTTCTTGCACCAGGTATTCTAGGGAAAGGACGAGGGCGAGTTAGATCTATGTGCTCATTTGAGGAGTCTGAAAATGAAGTGCGATCCTTCTATCCGAATTCTCATTATGCTAGTCAAAATATGTCAAGACATTCTAAGAGTACAAGATTAGACTCTACCATGTATGCCGCTCAAGGATTACGAACAATGAATCAAAAGCTTTTGTTTCATGACAAGGAGAATATGCAAACTGATATTTCATTTTCTCCTTCTATTGATCAAGTTATGCAGTCCACCCAAACAGTTGAAACAAGTATGGTTTTCTCCTTCTATTGATCAAGTTATGCAGTCCACCCAAACAGTTGAAACAAGTATGGTTTTCTCCTTCTATTGATCAAGTTATGCAGTCCACCCAAACAGTTGAAACAAGTATGGTTTCTCAAATCTGCTTGATCACAAGTTTATCATTTTTACAATATTTTCTAACATTTATAAATTAAGCAAATGTAGGTTCAGGTACTGCAGGAAAGGTAAAAAAGGTTAGAGGAAGTAACAAGTGCAAAGAAGTTGCATCACTTGAAGTTGGAGAGAAGCTAAAAGTAACATTCTACAATAATCGAACAGTTGGAAAGAATAACAATCTATTTTCGAGGCACTTGGGAAAAATAGTTTGCGACCGTAATATATATCCGTTGGGAATATTATCGTGGGATCGCATTAAGGAAGAAAAGTTAAATCACATGTGGGCAGCTGTTAAGGTAAATAGATGGAATATTCCAATATCTCCTTTATTTCCTCTTTTCAATCCATTCTTGGGGCTTAACTATTTTTTTTCTTATTTTTTGCAATTACACTAAGCATTGAGCTTAGTGTTCATTTTATATTTCATAACTCAAATGAAGATTCACCCTACTGGAAAGGTGCTCCTGCTTTTCGTAATTTAACAATTGTAGCTGATCTGAATATCTGATTCGCGTTGTCATTTACCATAAGCAGCTCCTAGTTTATCACGTACAATTTTTTTAGCCTGAAATGTTGGGGGTGTGGTTAATTTTCATAGTTTTTTTGTTGCTGCTAGTGCACCAGTGCATCAGTCACCTGTACCTATTAGCTGCTAAATGTATCATCTGAATCGCCATTTAGGACATCTCTTGTTACATGTTTACTGACTTTTGGATTCAATTTAATTATTGTAATAGCAATCTGTGGTAGTTTAGGGCCTAGATGTCAACTTGCATCTTTTATTTGTATATAGTTAATTTGTTTTCTATTGTGATACGCTGATTGGGACTACCTGGATGATGCACTATTGGTGCATGTTATATGTTTTAAATTCACAAAATTGAAATAAAGCTAAGGCATTTGTTAATTCAAGCTTTATTGTAGAACTATGTTTTCTTCTATCACATGGAGTTTCTGTGATGATATTGGATATCAATCTACGTTTGATGTATTGTAGGATAAATTTGAGAGTGATGACATGGATATACATCGCGATCATATTTTGGGATGGATGAAAGAGTTATGGAACAAATGAAGAGGACAAGTGCATGCAAAATATGTGAAGGGTAAGCCAATCCAAGAGGCTCTTAAAAATGTGCCCAAGGGGGTAGACAAGAAACAATGGGAGTGGTTGGTAAAGGAACATTTTTCTACAGAAAGTTTTCAGGTTTGATATAATACCTAATTATGTAATTTTATTTTATACAGTGATATTTTAATTGATAACTTATTTATAGCATTTGATTTAATGTTGTCACTCAAATATAGGCGAGAAGTAACAGGAATGCAACAAATAGAACTAAGTTGAAGATGCTTCATCGTATTGGTAGCAAACCAATTAGAGAGATTATTTATCAAAAGGTGTTATCATCAAATCTATTTTTGCTTAATATTGACGAGACGTTATTTGACATATTACTTTTATGTGAAGGGCGGAAAAGATGGCAAACCACCAAATTTGGCAACTATTTTCTTCGAGACTCGCAAGAAGAATAACACACTTTTTGAACCTAAAACAATCGAGAAACATGTGCGTATAATTAATTGAACATGTTCTTTACTTTTAGTTATTATGGGATCTAACAAAAAAATTTCTATATAATTTGTAGGCTCAAATCAAGGAATTGGTGCAGTCTGAACCGTCACTTCCTAACATAGAGATTGTAGAAAAATGCTTTGAACCTCAAAGTCGTAGTCATGTATTTGGCTTTGAGGGTGGATTAAAGGTGAAAGATTTGAAAGGGGGAACTACCTCAAAAACTAAATTATTGGCTAAGCTACGTTCAACTAAAAATGAAAACTATCTTTGAAGGATCGTCTGTCTAACTTCGAAAATGAGATGAGGGAACTGAGGAAAATAAAAGAATTAGTATTAGCGCAACAAACTAATTTCCAGCCTCCAGCTCAGGAGAATGACTATTTGGATCCTTGATGATACCAAGTGAGTAACAACTTACATGAAATGTTAATTTATTTTGTTTATTTAAGTGTATGTTATTGTATATCCTTTGTGGAATTTATTCTTCTATTAATTACGAATTTCATCGGTGTCAATTCTAACAAGCTTCTTGTGATGATCCGGCCAGTTGTCTCATGAGTTACCGCTCCGTTTCCCCCATTTCTGCTTCTTTATGCTTCGTTATCCGTGTTTTGTGGTATCAGATTGGTTGGATCGAATTCGGAAAGGATTTGGCAAGGTTTGAGACACTTAGTTTCTTTAGAGTGAGTTTAAGTTAAAAAAGTCAACTGGATATTGACTTATGTATTAGAGGGCTCGGATGTGAGTTCTGATGGTTCGGTTAGCTTCAGAAGGTGATTTATGACTTAGGAGCGTGATCGGAATGAGTTTTGGAGGTTCAGAGTAGATTTAGGCTTGAATTGGTGAAGTTGATAATTTGACGATTTCCGGTTGGTAGGCGAGTTTTTGATATAAGGGTCGGAATGGAATTTTGAGAGTTGTATTAGTTCCGTTGTGTCATTTGATATGTGTGTGCAAAATTTCAGGTCATTCGGACGTGGTTTGGTTGGGTTTTTGATCAAAAGTGGAATTCGGAAGATTTTTAGGAAATTTGGCTTGAATCCGATGTGTTTTGGGTGATTTGATATTATTTGAGCTGTTTTGATGATTGGAACAAGTTTGAATAAGGTATTAGGATGTGTTTGTGCCTTTGGTTGAGGTCCCGGGGGCCTCGGGTGAGTTTCAAGGGGTCGAACGGATCATTTTGGAGTTAAGGATTATTGCAGAAATTATGTTCAGCCGTTGCAGGGATTTTTCCCTTTGCGTTCGCGAGTGGACCCTCGCGTTCGCGAAGAGTCAGTTGGGGAAGGAAAAGATTAAACCTTTGTGTTCGCGATGGGAGCTTCGCGTTCGCGAAGGGCTAAGGATTGGAGCATCGTGTTCGCGTAGAGTCGTTTGGTCAGCTGGGTTTGAGGCCAAGTTGTTCATCGCGTTTGCGGGAGAGAGATGGAGAGCGTTCGCGAAGTGTATGTCTGAGGAGTCATCACGTTCGCGATGGTCATGTCGCGTTCGCGAAAGAGGAAAGTTGGTCAAAGTAAATTTGTGCTTCGCGAACGCGAGGGTTTGACCGCGTTCGCGAAGAAGGAATAAATGCCTGGGCAGAATGTTTTTAAGCTCGTCTTGTCCACGATTTTGGGATTTATTTCCTCCATAGTTGATCGTTTTTAGAGATTTTTGAAGGAGATTGAAGAGGTATTCAAGGGGAAACGTTTGGAGGTAAGGATTTTGGACTAAAAACTCGATTATTATGTGAATTCCACCTAGAAAAAAATCATGGAATCTAAGCCTAAAATTGAAGAGCTAGGGCTTGAAATTTGAGACCAAACATTTGGGATTTGAAGGGTCATTTGTGGATGGATTTTGATGTTTTTGATATGTATGAACTCGTGGGAAGATAAGGAATCCGTTGATGTGAAAATTATTGAATTCCGAGGCGTAGGCTCGGGGGTCGGGTTTTGGTAATTTTGGGATTTGTGCCATTTGTTGATTGTTTTCGCTTGAGCTTCGTTCCCTTAGCATATTTTGACATCCTCGATATGATTTTGCATAGATTCGACACGCGTGGAGGCCGAGGGGTCGTAGTGCTATATTGAGGTGAGACACACGCTTGATGACGAGCATGGGGTCGTGCACTATTGGGGATTATGACTTGATCGTCCCGATTGATGATTTTACCGCGTATTTGACTGAAATCTACTTGTTTTCATCATTATTTGGGTTGAATGTCATATTTGGGCCTTGTGCCAACTATTTGAGCCCTTCGGGGATTTTTACTGATATTTCCTCACTGTTTTGACTTTCTACTTGAACTCAATCATGTTATATTTCACTGTTTTCATATTCAACCATGTTTACTCTGTTTTAAACACTTACATGATCTTTTAAACGATATTTTTAGGCTGAGAAACATGTTTTACTACTGCCCGAGTGGCTTGTGAGGATTTTTTGACTGAGTAAGACCGAGGGCCTATGTTGTGAGGAAACATTTGATATTGATTATGAGGTCGAGAGCCTGAGATATGTACGCCACAAGGTAGCTTGATTGATATGAGGCCGATGACCTAGTTTTGATGCCACGAGATGGCTAGTTATTGTGCTTGGGTCGTAAGGGGCCCCTCCAGGAGTCTGCACACCCCCAGTGAGCGCGGATACCTATTGTGATGTGAGATTGAGCCCGAGGGGCTGGTATTGTTCTATGTGATTGCCCGAGAGGCTGGTACTGTTCTGAGATGTTGCCCGAGGGGCGAGCCTTTATGTGTTTACTTTTCATAATTGACTGTCAATTTTCTGCTTAATTATTAAAAAGGGCTTTTCATGAAACTACATTTGAGTTAAAGGTTTCTATCTATCTTTCACTGATTTACTGTCTTTGACTGGTTTTACTGCTTCATTATAGAATGCCTTGTGCCTTATGTGATTTCTTACTTTCAGTCGTTATTTACATTTGTTACTCACTGAGTTGGAGTATTCACTTTACTCCCTGCACCCTGTGTGCAGATTCAGGCGTAGCTGGTCCCGCTCACGAGTGCTGATTCATTCCAGCTTCAGGCGGATCTCGAGGAGTCTTTAGGTAGCTGTTGGCGTTCGCAGCCCGGAGCTCCTCCCTATCTCTTTTCCTTATATCCTTAGTTCAGTGTTAAACTCTGTAGTTACATTTGAGTATTCAGTATTGTTAGATGCTCGTGACTAGTGACACCTCGGTTAGGGCTGTGTTGGGTTGTACTTCCGCACTTTATTGATATTATCTGCTACTTAGTATTACTAAATCATGTTTTAGACTGCTTTTATGTTGTTTAACTGTTTAAAAAGTGAATTGGGTTTAATTGGTTGGCCTTGTCTTCACGAGAAGCGCCATCACGACTGGGTTCGGGTTTGGGGTCGTGACACTTCTGTCTGATAATGTTTGGAAATTAATTTAGGGCTGGTGTGGGCCTAAGAAAATTCTAACAAGCTAGTTATTCTTTTGAACATTCTCAAACTAAATTTTTATGTCAACTACTAGCTACTGCAATTGCTGGAGACCTCTCTTACATCCCTTTCTATCATTTATCTCAGCTCAGCTTATATTTCTACAACAAAACATGAAATAAAATACTTATTAGTTTATAAATCAAGGTTGTTAGCATGCAGCAGTGCTCCCTTAGCAAATGATTTTTCTTTCCTCTATAAGCTGGAGAGGAAAGAAAATACTGCAATTGCTGGAGACCTCTCTTACATCCCTTTCTATCATTTATCTCAGCTCAGCTTATATTTCTACAACAAAACATGTAAGAAAATACTTATTAGTTTATAAATCAAGGTTGTTAGCATGCAGCAGTGCTCCCTTAGCAAATGATTTTTCTTTCCTCTATATATTAGGAATTGATGACTTCATCTGATGAATGATACACTAAGGATAAAGCTCATCTTCCAGTCAAAACTGTTAACAACAATGATAACTACTCTATATTGGCTCGGGAATTTTGTAGCAAAAGCCATATTGTTTGTCCCGCAAGAAAAAGGTTGTGACACATTCCTTTATCTCTTGAACTAATTCAGGATGTATAATTCTGCACCCTGCCTCATTGTGGCATTGCAATTTACTTTCTCTGTAATATTTGGGCAGACAATCATAATTAATCTTAAAATTGTTCGGACGTCACTTCACCTGTATGATCATCTTTAACTTCTTCTACTTCAACTTGAATTTACTTTGGAAATTCATCCGGTAAATTAACCTCCAACTTCACCCTCACACAACTAGGTCTAGTCTTATTTTGAGTAGCCATATTAATCTTTACGGATTCCCAACAGCAGAAGCCATTCTAAACATGACTCCTTCACAAAGAAAGTAGGAGACAAGGCTTAAAAAGAAATCCAGGCTACAATACTGGGGGTTTCCTCCTCCGGCTTAAATCTCGTATCATCTTTGAGAGATCTATCTGGTAGTAATAATCCTGATGTTTAATATAGTGCGCAACTTTGGACATCATATTGACATAATTCTCCAACAGTGATCAACGAATCAAAACATGTCAATCACGCAAATAACCAACCTGGCAGGGACACTTAACTTCACTTTGGATTGGAACCAATCTTCGTAATTCTTGTAAATCTGGCAATCCATAAGAAAACTTACCAACGACTGCGTATTGGAGATTTTTCTATGGCTAACATGCACTTGACTTCTCTTGATTTCCAATGAACAGAAGGTTCTCCACAAAAAAACGATAGGGTTTTGATAGGAATAGGTCTGATAGGCTGCATGAGTGCATTTATGTGCATGATTGATCTCTGCGGAGTAACTTTCTGTAGCTTTGACACTGTTTTACCTCTTATGTTGTTAAAATTTGCAAAGTCATCTATTTATCATTTCTTTCACTAAATTTTGTTGTCTGGGTGGGGGAAGCAAGTCGGTTGTATCCTAATCATTGTTGAGACTAGACTCTTTTTGAAAATTTGAGTATTTATACGTCTGTTATATATAGTTTTTCTAACTGAAATTTCTTATTTTTTCAATAGGTTTTGGATATTGAAGTTTACGAGAAGCCGATTTTTGACGACATAGTGATCAACCACAATTTTACTGGGAATTTCAAGAAAATTTTACATTACAATCGAAGGATATTATTAGTATATGTAGTTTTTTTGCTAAATATTTATGAACACAATATTGTGACTAGCTTACATCATTGATGTACGATTCAATTAATTAATTGATATTGATCATTTTTGGTATTATTTTATGAAAGCAACATTATCTATATATTAATATTCCCGATTTTCTAGTTGCAAACTAAATGTGATTTAGGGACTTGTGACTTGTTTCTTTAGGGACCAGCTTTAAACTTCTCTGAATAGATATAACGGCCAGTTTCTAACTGGTCGTGAAACATTTTAACGACCATATTTAAACTAGCTGCAAAAATATTTTAAAGACCAGAAATTTAGTCCTTAAAATATGAAAATAAGCACCAAAAACATGGTCTTTAAAACACATTTAACGGCCAATTTTAAACTGGTCGCTTAACTGGTTTAGCGACCAACGCACTATCTCGTCCTTAATAACCTTAAGCGACGGAAGCTATAAGGACCAGGTTAGCTGGCCGCTATTGAGCATTTGCGACCAATTCCTTACTTTTAGGGACTAGTTTTCCCTTCGCTATTGAGCATTTTTTCTTGTAGTGAATGGAGGGAAAACTACTACCAAACAATTGAAAAGTCGCCCACCTCAAATACTTCAACTTCTGAAGACGGACGTCCTCCAAGTCGTACTCTTTTTCCCTCACCCGAGTTTTGTCCCAATTAGGTTTTCTCGGGGAGGTTTTTAATGAGGAGACAAAGAGGGCATCTCGAAGTTTAGATGTTAAATTCATCGCCCCGCCTATCAACTACTTCTCTAGGTCGAGCGATGAAGGGACTAGATAGACTGACTCCTCGAATGTATGTACGGGTCGAACAAAAATATGTAATATTCTCCAATGAATAAACAAAGTAGTATATGACATTCTTACACAACTCCACCAATTTACACATCACGCCAACACAAAGGAAATGTACATTCGATTTCACTCAAATTATTTTCTAAGTCTACTTTCAACTTCGCTCGAATTAACTTACTTTCAAATTGATATACATTCTACCTCGTTCGAATCAATCCACATTCGACCTCGCTCGAATTAACTTACATTCGACCTCGTTCGAATCGATCTACATTCAACCTTGTTCAAATTGATCTACATCCGACCTCGCTCGAATTAACTTACATTCGACCTCGTTCTAATTAATCTACATTCGACCTCGTTAGAATCGATCTACATTTGACCTCGTTCGAATCGATCTACACTCGACCTCGTTCGAATCGATCTACACTCGACCTCGTTCGAATCAATCTACATTTGACCTCACTCGAACTAACTTACATTCGACCTCGTTCGAATCAATCTACATTCAACCTCGCTCGAATTAACTTACATTCGACCTCGCTCGAATCGATCTACATTCAACCTCGTTCGAATCGATCTATATTCGACCGACCGAAAGTCGGGGACTTTCTCACAAAAGAATGCTCACGGGAAAGAAAAAAGAAAGAAGAGCCTGAAATACACAGCAAAAGACAATTGTTCCATTTCAATCATTCCATTCCAATACATTTTACAAAGGGCTTGATAGACGCCCCCCATAAAAAATAGCAAAACACAAAAAAGCAAAAACCAAGTACAAAGACTTAACGCCGCATCATCCCCCCCATCACCGACGTCACCGACATACTCATCATCGTACCAAGAGTCTTAGGCAAGCCCATCTAAGGCGTCTTCATCGTCACCCCCACCAAGCGTACCAGGATCATAACCATAAACGTCACGAGCTATACGTGTCTTGACACGAATATCCTCAAATTCTGCCTCATAAATATTTCCAACCGTCTTCAGAGACCTTTATATGTCAAGTTGGGCCTCGGCATGAACCCACATTTCATACAACTACCGTGACACACCAGGAGCGACAGAAGTATAAGAAGTAGATGGTTGGGCCTGCTGTTAGGGCGATAACCTGCTTATTCAGATCAGACAGCTCCGCCTCCAAACCCCCAATCCGCTCCTCAAACCTTGCCTCCTTGAGCAATGAATTTTTCGCCTAAGTAACTCGGTCAGACCTGCAAACACGGAGGGTGCACCCTAGGGATGCCGCCTCCGCCACAGCTGTAAGGCCCCGGAAATTTCGCTAAGTAAGGTGCCAGGTAGGCTAATTATAATATTTATGTGCTATTAACATGATGGTCATCAATTGGATTTGGTAAATAAGTGTATAAGTTTAATAATGTGTAATGTGGGGTCTAATGGGAGGCCTAAGTCTAAGTCAAATTGGAAAATTTCATACTAGGCTAAAATTCCAAATGAGTTCGCACAAGTCCAAATTTTGGACGAGTATATCTAAATATATATAAGGTTTTATGTGGTAAACAACCTATCAAATGAAAGGTCGTCGAGTCTAGTTTCTAACGTTTCAACTCGTTTGTCATTTGGACATTCCTACACAAAGTTATGATCAAATTACCAAAGGCTGGATTTGCAATCACAAAACGACCATGCGGATAGCATATGCGTCGCATAATTAAGCAGTGTCGGGCAAAACGTTATGCTGTCGATTATGCTATCGCATAATGATTATGCTGCAAGAATGCTTCCCATATTTCAATGATGCTATAGCATAATTGCACCACATATTTGATTTCGGGGGTCATTTTTGGAAATTTTCATATCCGAACCCACTTTGATAAATAAGCTTGGGGCTTCATTTGGGACCACTTTACACTAAATATAGAGAGAGGTGAGAGCATTTTAGAGAGAGAAAGAGGAAACGTAGCCTCCTAATCATCAATCTTGCACAAACCCTCAAGAATCAAGCATGCTAATCTCTAGTTCATTATCTTCCGGGTAAGTCCTACTTCTAATATTTCATATATGAGATTATGAGTTCAAAAATATATTGTTGGGTTAGAAATAGGCCATGCATGTGACACTAAGCTATAGTATGTGGGATTAGTGAACTATTTTGGGTAG